AAAAACCAAAGACCTCCAACCATCAATAAAAATAGAATCAAGGCTAAATTCCTGGACACAAGATTCAAAGCTCTCCATATGGTGAGTTCAATTTCTCATTTCAGATTTGTCATCCACTGGGATCATTCTACAAACAGTTCTCACCTTATGATCTAGAAAAGTAATCATCTATAAAGACTTTGAAAATTGTCCACCTAGAGTTGATTTATTCCTTGTCTGTTTATTTGGAATCTAAATTTACCTGAAGTTACACTTCCCTGCCTTATGTTCCTTGTATGGCTACATGAATTAACTATGTGGCTTGAATGTAAATTTAAACAGCAAAGAATGTGTTTCCTTTATTATCCCCTACATTAGTCTGTAAAAGTTACTAAAAATAGCTTGTAATAATAATTAATTTTCAAATATAAGTAACATTTAGTCAAACTGAAAAGTTTTTGTTTGTTTGTTTGTTTGTTTTTAATTCTCACCCATTTATTATAAAGGATATTACAAAGGATGCTGATGAATAGCCAGATGGAAAAGATGCATAGGGCAAAGCATGTGGGAAGGGTTGCAGAGCTTCCATGTCCTCTTCAGGCAAGCCACCTTCTTCCAGGAACTTCCACATGCTTAGCTAAGCACAAGCTCATGTGAACTCTATCCTTTTGGGTTTTTATGGAGGCTTTATTACATAGGCATGATAGATTAAATCAATGACCATTGGTGATCAGCTTAACCTTTAGCCCATATCCTCTCCTTGGAGGTTGGTGGGTGGAGCTGAAGTCCCAACTCTCTAATCATGCTTTGGTCTTCCAGGTGACCAGCCCCCATCCTGAAGATAACAAGGGTCTCCCAGTCACCAGTTATCTCCTTAGCATGCAAAAGACTCTCTTATCACTCCAGAGATTCCAAAGAGTTTTAAAGACTCTCATCACTCCAGAGATTCCAAAGAGTTTTAGTATCTATTATGTCAGAAAATGGGGATGAAGACCAAACATATATGTAATTTTTTGTAATGAACTAAAAAGTTTAATGCATCATTGAGTGAGTAATAAATTCCTAGAGATAAACAAAAGTCTGAAACTACTTACTTTAAGAACAGAATTTTTCTCTTAAATAAGATGAAGTTTGGAATGGTTTTCATTAAAATTTATTTCAGTAAAAATAAATATTACAGAGAAAGATTATTCAAAATATATTTTAGTCCAATTTATTCCATTAGAAGCTAATGCCTCTATACTTGCCATAAGTTGCATCATTTTATGGATATAAGAGAGAACCACTTTTTATAAAATTCCAATTTCTGAAAGAAAAAAAAAAAAGCTAATTTCTCTAATTATACAGATATTTAGTTCAGATCTATACAGGGCCCAGAGTCATTTAATTGTACATAAATGAATGAACAATACATTGAATTACCAATTGATTAATTCAATTAGGCCATTAAAAAAACTGAAATAAGAACTCTAGTGTAGGGGCCAGTTATTTTAGTTAACCTAGTGCCCAAAGCAGACATAATTCTGCTGTTCAGTCTCCTGCTTGGCACTCACATTTGATGAGAAATGAAAAAATACACTGACAACCACAGCCGCTTCAGTCCATCATATACTCTCCATCACATGCAGTAAGACATTTACCATTATCTAAATTATTACTTAGTGTTTTGTTGTAGATATTTAAATTTTTTTACAACAGTTTACTACTAACTTACTGTTAAAAATGTGTAATTCCTCATAAGTGAAAATTCAATTGGTCTTAAAAGATTAATCAGAAATTTAAATTAGTTACCAATTTTCCTGTCTTTGAATGAAACAATAATTCTTTTAATCTTGAAAAGATAAAATGTTATGGGAAAATCTCTTTTTAAAATCTATTATATATCTTAAACACAATAACACCACTCTCCCACTCCAGATCTCAGTGAAAAGTGCCACTATCTAGCTTTGGTCTGAGCCTGGATTCCATCCCTGTTCTTCATAAGCCGCACCAGGTATGTTTCTGGTATATATCTCCAGAATCATTTCCGTTTCCGAATCCCTTCTGATACTGCCTTAGTAGCAGCTCTGGTCAGCTCTCCTCAGGATTAATGCAGTAGCATTTTACCTTATCTTTCTTCCCAGTTTAACTCCCTTACTTCCAGCTTGTCCCTCTCCACTGCTTCTATGAGCCAAACACAATAGGTGCTGTTCCCTGAGAAAGCTTCCATCTCTCTTTTTTCTATGCCTGGCTCGCGCTGCTCCTCTTTCCTGGTGCAGACTTTTCTTTGCCTAGCTATTACTTGTTCTTCAAGATTGGCATAATAGTATTTCTCTTAAGCAGGGCAATAGTACTCTTTGCTTTCTTCTTTCACAGCCTACTTGCTTTATATATTTTGCCTTCCTGGACTTTAAGCTGTTTTAAGGCATAGTCTTCCAACATTTCATTCCAGCAACCAGCAAGATTGCAGGTATATAAGATTCATTCAAACGTTTGTTGAATAAAGTATGTATTTAATGAATGAACTGAAACTGGCTGCTGAAAGCACTTTAAAACTATTATTTAGTTATTAAAATCTGAATTTAATTGATCTTATTTACTTGGTGATAATAGGTACCTGATGTATAATAGGGGTAACTTGAAACATGTTTCACATAGACTTGAATAAGTACGTTAAATTAAGTGTTATTCAAAACTAGGTAACTCTCTGTAAATACATACATACAAATTCAAAAACTCTCTTTATGAACTATGGTAAAAACAGTGTTGGGCAAAGTTACAAAACTTCAAATTAACATTTATTTTTCAAACTAAATCAAGAATTAAATAACTTCATCAGTCAGCTTGGTACTTTATTGGCAGTGGAATAATATATGTATATGTGTGTGTGTGTGTGTGTGCATATACATATATATATATATATATTTTTTTTTAAGAGTGTTAACCATTCTGGTACCACCTTCAGTGTTCCAAAATCATGTTAATAATATGATCGATTTCTATTTAAATTGACTCTATCCTCCCTAATTAAAAAAGAGTTAGAGAATGGGTAATATATGTATGTAATTTATTAGTGCCTCAAACTAGTACTTACAGAAAGTAAAAATTGATTCAGAAAGGATTAGCATGACTTTAAAAATGAGAGAACTATAAGTGGCAACTAAGAGAAGCTGGGATTGACCATTCATTCATTCATTCATTTATTTATTCACTTGTTCTATCACTCAATCTTGTATTAACTGTGGATCTGTGTATTTGACCTCTATACCAACTTGCAAACTTGAGGATAAATGGGTCAAGCACATGCGCCATCAGCAGGTCATTTATGTGGTCAACAGCACACAAGAAAGGCTTAATCATGTATGACAACACTTTGTGTGTGTGAGTGTGTGTGTATTACCCAGATCATAATTCTTTTGTAAATTTATATTTGAATTCATAGGACTTAGATAAAAATTCTCATTACATGTAATGTTTAAAAAAATTACAGTTTTCATTTAGGAAAGAAATACTCACACACCTCCAAAGTATACCAACATGTTCCCAATTTTAGCCAAATTAACAAAATGAAATTTGACTTTAAAAAAATCTCCATGGATTACAATGCAGTGTTTTACAAAGTGAATGAATAAAGGTAACTGGTGATTTGGTGCTTATGTCTCTGCATCTTTCAAAACATTTCATTTCAAATTTATATTTGATTAATCCAACTTGATTTCTTAATATCAGTGGAAAATAGACCTCTCTGTCATATTAAGTTAATCAAACAAATTCTTGCCAATTTTCTATGTGGTTTACCTTGGCTTGCCATCTGATGATATGTGAATATAAATATTTAAAATTTTTGTGTAGGTAATGGATGCCTAAATAAATGCATGTAAGTGTTGGAAATACATGTTGTATTTGCAACTCTCCCTGTCTGGTGGACGGAATGAAATAATGTTGTTGTTGATTATTGACACATTTAACTTGGTATCCCTGTGACTAATGGAGGAAAGAATATACAGAAGAGTTAGAGAGAGGTTTTAGAGATGCTCTTAGTAAAGCACCTGGAATTTTTCAATCACATTGCCAGTTTGCTTTTAGAATGACTTAGAAATGTTACCTTCTGTATAGCTGAAGTACTTGTGATAACCACACACAGTTAAGAGTGCAGTCAGAGCCAGTACCCATGTTTCAATAAACAGCGGTCCTAATTACCTAAGTATGTGCCTTTTTGTGGTTCTCACAAGTAAGTCTAAGTAAGCCTTACGAGGAAGACCAAATGAGAAAGTAGATATTGCATAGATATATAATAGCAGCAGAGAAGGTATCTTAGAGATCAGCCAATCCAACTTCTGGTTATTCAGGACAGGAAAATGAAGCCAGAGTCAGTCTTAACAATTAGCCAAAGAGAAAGGATAATAAGAGATGAAGGGAAACAACTTTCCTTGTCATAATATTAATCACACTTTATTGTAATAACTGTATGTCTGTGTTCACCCAGAGCTCTAATCGGCCAGGTTCTGTGACAGTCTTAGTCACTGTCCTATCCCTAGTACTTAGCACAGTGCTTCTCAGCAATGAGGATGAGAAAGGATGAGTAAAGGATTGTTCAATATGAATTCAGGGGAGGTTCTTAATCTTGCTAATCCTGACCTTCATCCTTTGAAAATGGGGATAATAACAACTACCTCTTAGACTGTTATCAGAGGAAAGTGAAAAAATGCATAAGAAATGCTTAGCAATGGGCCTTGCACAAAGAAGCACCCACTAAACGTTAATGGTACGAGTGAATAAATGGCTGATTGAAGGAGGCCAAATTCAAGGAGAGATGCCTGTTTCTCCAAAAACTTAAATAACAAGACATGGAAAACTAAGAATAGTTTTTGGCATACACTCGTCTGATGACTAATCAAGAACAGAAGAAATAATATAAAACAAAGACCAAATGAATAATACAGAACTTACAATGATTACAAAATATTTGTTAAAAGAAAAATGGTTGTTTGAACTATTCTGGAGAATATCGTTCTGTAGAGAATAAAGAACATCACCAATACCTGATAAAATTCTGACTTCTGCTTCATTTCCTGTTCTTGAGCTGGCTGGATTCCGAGCTGAGCATCGATAAATTCCAATGTCCCCAGGTTGAAGTCTGCTGATCTGCAATGCTCCAGAGGGCAAGACCACTACCCGGGAGTCTCCCGGGGTTGGAGTCAGGTCTTGTTGGTTCTTCTGCCAGTGTATTGTTGGCATGGGCTCCCCAATGACTTCACACTTGAGTAGCACTGTGTCTCCCATGAAGGCTGTGACAGATTCTGTCTGGGAAAGGAACCTCAGTGGTCCTAGGGATAAAACAAGAAAGGAAGGGATAGATCTTTTAGATGAGGCACAATAATCACAAATAAAGATAATCACCCTTTGTATTCTTTATAGAAAACTATATTTCACAAGGTATTTTTTCAGTCTCATCTCTTTGTTCTTCACACTTTACCACTCTGTCTGGCACTTCAGTAGGTTCTGCGGCTAGAAAAAATTGCTTGAAGACATTGCTATTCATCTCTAGAAGCTTACTGCTTTGTTATTGGTTAATAAAACAGCCTTGCAAAATAAACAGAGCAGTAAAATCAGCCTAATTTTATAGATGAGGAAATTGTGGGTCAGAGAAGTGAAATTCCAACACAAGTTCACATGATTATAATTTGACAGTCTTGCAAATGGGACCTGGTTCTTCTGACTCCTGGTCCTATGCCCTTCCTCTTTCACAACTTTGGACAAAGGACTATGAAGTCATAGAGATTTATGTAGCACTGGTTATATGGAATAACCCAAAGCAGTTTCAAGAAAGACAGGTGATATTAGCCACTAATTATAGAAACAGAGAATAATCTTTTATGGGTTGACTGCTTAAGGTAAATTTCATCAGTATTTTCTTGGTGCGCTGTGGAGTAGCGGAAAAATCCTGAAGTTGGAAATAGAATAGCCTATGTTTCTAGCCTGGTTGGGCCACTATTATGTAGGAGTCCTTTGGTAACCTGTTTCATTTCTTTGGGCTATAAAATGGGATAATAGCTAACTCACACAACCACTATAAGGTTCATAGAGAATAACATGTGAAAATGATGCATTCACATGAATGATTAAGTAAATGAAGAGTAAAAAGAAGAGAAATAAACTGCCCATGACTGAGTACAAGGATGGTGAGCGAGAAGCTTTCTCTACCATGATGTCACACGTAAGAGGGGTGGAAGCTATCTTAATCCTGCCCTCTTGAACTGCCTTTCATGAACAAGTGGATATTTGTGATCCTAATCTTCTGACTATGAAAACCTTTTGTTTTTTGTTTGTTTGTTTAATGATTACAGACAAGCATATTTCTATGAATTATGTCATTATTAATAGATCATTGGCAATTTTATCTTCTAGAGCTATCAACCAAATAATTTTAATGTCTTGATTCATATTCTTTTCATCACAGTTATATTCTGATATTTTGATTTTCATTTTAATCGTAAATGAATTGTTTTCATTGTCTGTGCATTTCACAATGAAATTTTATTCACTCATCAGTTTGGAGTTCATGTCAAATTTTAGGAATCATATTTCATGTTACTATAACTTTTATTTTATAGATTTATTTTATATAAGTCAAAATTTCTCAGGTCTATGTTTAAATTTTGTCAAGAAGTTTTGATTTTCTATCAATATTTAGTCAATAACAAACTCTACTGTGTTCGGTGTTAACTATTATTAGTTTCAATTTGAGTCTATTAATTCTCACAAACCTCATTTTCCATACAATCAAATAAAAATCTTGCTGAGGCCAAAAGGGCAAGGCAAAATTGCCTGAGTCAAACATCATAACTCAATATGAGAGACAATGAAAAATACTGTAAGGAAGTCTACTTCCGTAGGTGAAAGTGCAATTTCATGCCCTTTTTTGGAATTAGAGCCTTTGAACCACAGAATAACTGAATCCGTGAAACAGGAAATTACACCAGTATCACATGTGTAATAAGTACTAGCTGCTGAAGGCATACCACTTATTATAGCTACACCCCTATAAACAGACCTGCAATCCTGCAGATGTAATATTAAGTTTGTTCTCTCTAGTAATGATTAATTTTAAACCATACAGATACCTTAATATTGATTGACTAATTCATCAATTGAAATGTATTCCACACATATAGATACTAAAATTATTCATGTGATTACTAAGCAAAGCCTCTGGAATCTGGATCCATGGGGCAACCTGGATCAACACTACAGTTGTATCTACAGTGGGCACCAGCCACCTGCCTAGTTCTGTTCTCTTTAACTGTGCTAGACCTACCACTGGGTGAAGAACAAAAGGAATCAGTTAATTGGTGCCCTGGCTCATTGTCCAATGTCTAGGCTGTTTGAAGTGTATAGTTCTGAATCAGAAGAAGTACATTGATCTAGTACTGATTGGCTTGGGTAAGTATTTAAAGCATGTATTGGAACAGAGAATGGTCTGTATATATAACAAAAGTGAAACTGCGAAGAGTAGTGGTATATGTTGTTAGGTTTTGGTAGTCCAAAAGGTTTCAACAAAATTTCTGACCTTTTCATTTAATAGTTTTCTTCTTGGTCTTCATTCCTAATATTTTATTNGAGAGACAATGAAAAATACTGTAAGGAAGTCTACTTCCGTAGGTGAAAGTGCAATTTCATGTGCTTTTTAGGAATTAGAGCCTTTGAACCACAGAATAACTGAATCCGTGAAACAGGAAATTACACCAGTATCACATGTGTAATAAGTACTAGCTGCTGAAGGCATACCACTTATTATAGCTACACCCCTATAAACAGACCTGCAATCCTGCAGATGTAATATTAAGTTTGTTCTCTCTAGTAATGATTAATTTTAAACCATACAGATACCTTAATATTGATCGACTAATTCATCAATTGAAATGTATTACACACATATAGATACTAAAATTATTCATGTGATTACTAAGCAAAGCCTCTGGAATCTGGATCCATGGGGCAATCTGGATCAACACTACAGTTGTATCTACAGTGGGCACCAGCCACCTGCCTAGTTCTGTTCTCTTTAACTGTGCTAGACCTACCACTGGGTGAAGAAAAAAAGGAATCAGTTAATTGGTGCCCTGGCTCATTGCTCAAAGTCCAATGTCTAGGCTGTTTGAAGTGTATAGTTCTGAATCAGAAGAAGTACATTGATCTAGTACTGATTGGCTTGGGTAAGTATTTAAAGCATGTATTGGAACAGAGAATGGTCTGTATATACAACAAAAGTGAAACTGCGAAGAGTAGTGGTATATGTTGTTAGGTTTTGGTAGTCCAAAAGGTTTCAAAAAAATTTCTGACCTTTTCATTTAATAGTTTTCTTCTTGGTCTTCATTCCTAATATTTTATTNTTAGCACTTACATCTCATGGTGGTAAAACAAACCAGCAACAGTCTTAAAAGAAGAAGTTGTAGGCTATCAACTTAGGATTATATTTTCAAAGCATGCATATGAGCATCTAGTAATGAACATTAAACTCACTGAAACTCATAAGAATAAAATACAGTATTTTCAGAACAGTCATTTAATGTCCTAATGCAATACAAATGATTCCCTCACTTCATTCATAGAGAACAGGTATAATTTTAACTAGATTCTCATAAAAAATAATTACCTACTCAACAAGAGCCTGCACGTGGAAAAAACCTGGTTTAGACTCATTAAATCACATCTGATCCATTGTAGTCATAGCAGAAATGGTTTTTCTGTCTCTCCTCTTTTCTCACTTAAATTCATTCCAAATATAGTCAAAAGATCAATGTTCCTAAATCACCAAAGTTTTGGCTTCACTCAGGAAACTCCGAGAGTCCCAAATTTTTCTGGAATTGTCTTACGCCCCAAATACTGGGCAAAGAGTTTTTGTCTAAGATATAACCAAGTAGGGGGGCGGGGAAGAAGATATAACAACTATACTTTCATGAAGTTACTACAACAAGCAAACG